ACACACTGTAAAAAGTAATCACTGAATCTACTTAAGAAAAGCGAGTAAACATAACTGATTTTTACAAATTTGTTGAATTTACTGAATTACACTCTGTTATGTGAACTTTCAGGTGGATGCAATAGTTAAACTAAGCAACTTTAGTAAACAGTACTTAAGAGCATCTAGTTTGTTGGATTAAAGGTCTAATTTGAGGCAATCAGTTTCCACAGGTTTTACAAGCAAGTTCAACTCATTACTTTTTACAGTGTACTCATAAACATCACAAAACAACTCAATCCGGTGTTTCAACATTTAATCAAACATTGAAATGTGAAGTGCGCTTGTTGCCAATCTGCTGCCGTATGAAAACTGCTGGCTGTGGCAGTGGGATTCACAGTAAGAGAGCTGTATGGCTGTTTAGCCTGCGGTAATTATGTGCTCTTCAGGACTGAAAGGGTCTGTAATAACCTGGCTCTACTGCCACCGCTCAGCTATTAGAGGAGAGAGAGGCAGGCCTGACATTTTCTCTTAGCGTCACAGATCTGCCTCTCACTCACCTTTGGAATGGCAAGCAGGAAGGCTAATTAACAAAGAGGGGTTGAAAGAGCAAGAGGCCTTTGGGTGAATTGAGTCCATATAAGACACTCCAAGGAGATGAGACAGTAAATGGAGGAACTGCAATGAACAGCTAAATTCAGAGCCACCAAAGGACAAATAATAATATGCAATATAAAGCAGAGCGCTCCATTACGCTTTCCTACAGCCACTGCTCATTTAGTATACTCACACTAAACAGTCATAAAACAGTACATTTGTTTTCACACAAAAATGTTAAACAAAAAAACCTTGCACTGTTCTAAAACTTCATTTTAAAAATGAAATAGCTATATTACAATAAAATATATTTATTAAAAAATAAAATAAATGATAAACAACCACATAGTAGCATTTCTGTAGAGCAGCTAATATCTGGCTTTCAGATTCAGTGTTATGACTGAAAGTGCCTCCTCTCTCATGTGCTCTGTTTTTATGGCTGTGGTGGGCGGGCTGTAAAGATTGGAAGATACGTACGGCAGTGATAGATCATTCTGATTACAAAGATGTGCTGTCACTTCAGTCACTGTGTGCCTGCATGTGCACATACACATACTGTTTATGCTAAATGACACAGTCGGTGGCATATGCTGACGCGTGAAAAAATAATATCAGGGTTACTGAACAAGATACAGATGATATAGTACAATGGGATAATGTGCATGCATTGTGTATGTAAGGAAGAGACTGAATTTGTCTTGACTTGCATTGAGCATATGGTGATAAGCTCAAATATCACACACTGAGTCAGAGGAAAAGTGTACGTGTGCATATGGTAGAGAACACATGGGGCTCTGGCAGACTGGTAATGTGTGTCTATAGTACATATGGTGTATGGTGTGTTACCTGGTGTCTGGTAGTTGAGTCTCCTCATTTCTACAGGATCAGACGAGTTGGCCAAAAGACAATCCTTCACTCCACCAGAGTGATCATCTTTCGGTAGGGGGGATGCCCTCTTCCTGTAAGAGCAAAATGGAGTCAGCATGAGTGCTTCTGTTGACACATTCAGACCACGCCAGACCCACTAACAGATTCGAAAGATTTGAAACAGATAAAGACAAATGAAAGAATTTTGAGGGATGGGACAGAGAAATGTGGACATTAGCATCTTCATAAATTTACATCTATTAAACACCTATGTGTCCCGTGTAGACGACTCAATACATGATTTGCGAGAGAGAATTTGATTGGACAAAATTAGACAAAACATTTAGTCCATTTATTATATAATACTATTCAAAAGTTTGGGGTCAGTATTTTATTTTTTTTAATAATAGTATATTAAATCAATGCTGATATTTATATAGTATATAGTTTAGTATATAATATAATATATTATATTTTTGGTTAGTCCTTCTAGAAAGGAAAGACATTTTAAATGCATTAATTTATTATATCTGTATACATGTGTATATCCAAGTTCTTTTTATCAACTTTCAGGAGTATACTAAAGTCAACTACAAGCCACAAAACTCCAAACTTGTTTTCATGGGGTCTTTAAGACAACAAAATAATCAGTCTAAAAATCATGAGCCTCATTTCTTGTTAAAGCTTCACTGCTTTTAGAGCACATTATAACTTCCCTTTAGGAAACGTAGGGGGTCACAGTAATTCGAAATAAAAGCCAAATAGCGTGTTTGTTCAGCGCTTCACTAGATTCTGTTAGCAAGCTCACTAAATATTCAGGGTGCTGCGCTCCTTGTTTGTGGGGAAAACAAGGCGACTAGGTAATTAGCACATCAGCTGGATGGCACAACACCGGTAATTATGCCACTGTAGCACCTGCACTCCTGAGTGCACTCTTCCAGCAGGTAAAGCTGTCGTGTGCGCACACACACACAGATGCAGAACATCTGTTAGTGGAAACCCATCCTCAGACACATGGACACAAATCCCTAACCAAAATGGGAGAGCCAACTGCACGGGAAATTTCACATCTCACTGCACTCAATTTGTAAGGTTCTAAGCACAGTTTTCTAGCTTTCATAAAGCTTGAAGAGCTCAAATGAGGCTGACACCAGCGAGGCGAGCCGCACCGAAGGGTTTTCAGCATATGCTGTTTAACAGAACCGGGTCGTACTGCATCGCTAATCACTAGAGCGCTGGACACCTCTCGTCTTTCTTGTACGTACAGTAAGTCTCAGCACGCTTCAATTATTCAGTTTGGAGTTAATACATATACACCAGAGGCTAAATGGATCCATTTGTAGGGGGTTCAGAATAAATGCAGAGATAAAAATAACAGAAAATGGCCATTTTGCTCTGTGAGAGAGAGTGTATGTGTGTGAGAGAGATATTTCATACATTAGCCAGTAAGAAGGAAGTGAAAAAATGAAACAGAACAGTTCGGTGGAGGGAAATGTCAGCTTTGAAGATGAGAACATTTCTATTTCAGCAGCCGCCGGGCTGGCATTTCCTTTACAATGGGCCATTCAGGGCTCAGGTGAGACAGCAGAAAGGCTGACTGCACACACTCAGTCTGAGTGACCTTCAGGAGGAGGTGAAGGATCAACACGAACAGAATCAACACAGCACAGCAAACATCTCCAAAAATAAATCACGATCACAACAGCAAGCATGCACCACTGTAACGACGTAAACCCAAAGGACCGGAGCTTTTCAAGGACAGCAGGGTGTGAGGGTGAACTACTGTCAATCTCTGTGCAGAAAGGCAATTTCAGCAAACATCTTGTTTTGGATGAACCGAACGGATAGTCATTCAAAACAACATGCTAATGAACAGTAACGTGTGCGGCCACACCTGCAAACCCTACAGCCTGTGAAGAGCGAGACAGATGACACTTCTGAAATGAAAACTGACAGAAAGACACCTGGCCATGATCTGAAGGTACCTACCTCTCCTGTTTGCTGCATTTGTACGGAGCGGAGGAAGGAAGAGACACGTGATTAGTGGCTGTCAGACACGCAGGCCACACCTGCAAACCCTACAGCCTGTGAAGAGTGAGACAGATGACACTTCTGAAATGAAAACTGTGACAGAAAGACACCTGGCCATGATCTGAAGGTACCTACCTCTCCTGTTTGCTGCATTTGTACGGAGCGGAGGAAGGAAGAGACACGTGATTAGTGGCTGTCAGACACGCAGAGACTCAAGTGAGTTGTGCTGCTAACCTTGCGTTTCAAAAACGTCTTGCTGAAATCTGACTTTGTGTTTGAAGACGGTGATTTAAAAAGAGGAAATTAATGAATACTTATATAAAATGACTGACTGACACAACACTAGCCTTTGCTTTAGCTAATGAATATTAAGTAGGTGATCTGCCCACATTCAGGGACATAATAAAAATAATGTTGAAAACTCAGTTTATATAACATTACGTATAATCAACAGTTTAGATTTATATGCAAACACATAATTATAGGTGTACACAATATATATCAGATTTTATTTTTTAACTTTTTTTTCATTATTTATTATTGTGTTGAAAACCTTGTCAACAATTCTCTCTTTTAGTCTTGCTCATATAACATGACATATTATCCACTGCTTTAATTTATATACAAACTCATGTTGATTATTGGTAGATATCATTTATTTAATCCCCTATTTTTACGTTTAGATCTCAAAATGAATATTTTACATACTGTACATTATAATGTTGTGATGCCTAAATTCGCTTGTAGCATTTAAAATGACAGATTTTGGTAGAGAATTTAGTATAGAATTTTACAACAAGCTTCAGCAGAAATATAAATTTTGTGCATCCCTATTCCCTATATAGTTAAATGTTAATTTAAGCAAAAAAAGAAACTGATTCTGTCAAAAAGGCTAATACGTCTAATTTGTGATCAGATTTTCAAAAATCTATTGGCAAGTTGTGCAGAATTAGAGCATCCAGTGGTAGGAATTCCTGTTAGCAACAAAAAATACAATACAGCTACTTGTGACCTCCAGCGACAACATGACTGTCAGAGTGAAAGGGAGAGAGAAAGTTAAGGCTAGCAGCGAAAGGCCAGTTATCAGTTCTGCAGGAGTACAATAGCAGAGCTACTAGCTGGACTATCTGGCTCGCAGCGGTGGGCAGTGGAAGATGACAGCTTTTAGAATAGCATCAGCAGGGTGTGGCAGCACAGCCACATAACCGCTTGCCTGCCGAGACGAAAGCTGATGCTGCCATTTCGCTGCTGCATCTTCGCTCGGGAACGGCCTCAATTTGAGTCACTGCAAAGCTAAAAGAGTCCTGCACCATCAGGGGGGCTGATATGGTGGATTTGTGTTGAAAGCGAGAAAATCAGAGCAAAACAAATGCAAGGTTTGCTCTGAAGTAAGGGCTTTTACCAAGATGGGCTGGAGGGAGTATTAGTCAGTACTGTATCAGCATTGTGAATGGGACCACCGGGTCACGCCGCAAGCTACATGTCTGCATTATTCGGCTGAGTCAAGATGTCATTATGAATAATGTTCTCTCCGCGGAAAAGCTAGCTAAAATTAGCCACATCTTGTTCCGTGTACAAAGCATCCAAGGCATGAGACCTTCAAAGAGGCTGATATTTGTCTCCATCACACCTAGTAAACTTTGAGATGATCTCTGAGATAAAAAAAGGTGGGCACACTTCACACCCCCCTCAACAAAATGGAAAACTAGGTCCGACAATTAATATAATATAGAAATAATAACATGAAATGCTGATTAATTAATCTAATTAATCACTACTAATTGAGAAACACACCAAATGAAGATAATTCAAAATACATTCTATATCTAATACTTTCATGAGTGAAATCCAGTCATTACAATAGGAATTTCGTGTGAGGGTGAAAAAGTTCCCCACAAAGATTTCGCAACAAGTTAATTTGTGGCATTGACCAAGAGAAAGCAGCTTGCTTGAAAGTGACATGTGAGCTGTGCTTCATATATCACTACACTATTGATTGAATACATCTTTTGCACTGGCAGCTCTGTTGAATGGTAAAGCTACAGTGCACCTCACTGCAGCTGGCAGGAAAGAGTGATGGGAAAACTCTTGCTCACCTCTTGAAGAGCAGGATGGCGATGACTATGATGATGATGAGCACTACGGCAAGAACGGGGCCCATAACCCAGAGCATCTCAGGCTGGTCCACACTGGGCTGCATAAGGTTTTTATCCTGCACGATGATGGGGTCCGAGTATGGGCTGGCCGAGAAGGTCCGCTACAGAGAGAGAAAGTCTGAGTTAGTCCACAGAGAGTCTAATAAGTTACACAATAAATATGGCTGGAAAAAAATCCAATGAGAGCTTGTGTATAAATAACCCTTATATTCCTATATCCTTTGCTCTAGGCAGCATTGATTTGATCAAAAATACAGTAAAAACAGTAATATTGTGAAATATATATATATGATGTTTTCAGTTCTGGAAATGACAATGTTAAAATTCCCCCCAATTTCAGGTTTTCCAGGAATGTTTTAACTTCAACTACTTAAATTAAAATAAAAATTGCACATAGCACATCCTCACATCTGTCTCCATGTCAGGCTAGGTTTCCGTTAATAAGGTTCCTCTTAACCCCTGCCATACACACATTCACCTTTGATTAGCATAAGTCAAACCTCTGAGAACATGTGATTACCTTCCATGTAGAGGAAGATGCACACAAAAAAAGAAGAATTTGTGTGAGAAGAACATAGAGGGAGAGGACCTATGCACCCCTCTCTCTCTCTCTTTCTCTCTCTCTTCTCTCTGTGGCTTTGATAAATGGAAGCTGAGGAGAGGAATCAAATCCTCTTCATTAGTGCTCAAACCATGGTGATAGTGAGCTGGCTGGAGGCAGGGAGGGAGTGACAGGAAGAAAAAAGAGCCAGTGTGAAGGGACATAAATGAGACATCTCCCCGCTGTGCCCTCTTCCATGCACGCGCCATGGGACAGCTTCGAATTTTGCCTCACAAACCGCCTGTGCTAAAAAAAGAAACAAGGAAAAAGAATGAAGGAAAGGAAGGAAGGTGAGGAAAGATGGGCTTGTCACTACCACTCCCTTTGTCTGCGTTGGGAGAGGCCATCCATGTGGACACTATTTCCCTGAGGGCCAAACCCCTTTGCCTTCCTCTTTCTTTATCTCTCTTCCTCTCGCTCCATCCCGTCACACAGAGCGGGACGCCATAATCTGGATCACTTGCTCAGCTCAGCTTGACACGTCTAAGAGCGCACAGATATTAATTGAAGAGATAAGCAGGATATTAGCTGGAGGAGAGTCATGAAGTCGTTGTGTTATCGCCACTGCTCTCATTGGTAACGTGGTGCTTTATGTGAGCGCAGGTGGTTATGTGTGTGCGATGCGATGTACTGGAAATATACATTTCACTGCATAATTGTGGCTTCTCTTTAGCAACCCTGCTGGAAAAAACAGGTCAACAGCTCAAGCTAGGTTTTGGAACCTCTTTTTTTTGCAGGTAAATAGTTGGCTACCAGCTTTAACCAACTTGATTTAGCAGGTTTTTATTAGGTTTGTCAACTACCAGTCCAGTTGATCAACCCAGTTAAACCATGTAAAACCAGCCACCACCTTTTGTGTACAATCATGTAGAGCAGGATTCTGGACCAATGAGAGTTCTCCGTGGGCGGGCTTACACAGAAAAACAACTCAAAAACAGAAATCAAGTAACTAACAGAATGTCTTATTATTAGCTGACGTCACGGTCAGTTAGGGCAAAAATTTAGATTCTTATGGAAGAGATTTCAATGCTTCTTACAGCATCTCAGCTGGTTAGGAAACTAAGTTAAGCTGGTTTTACTAGGGTAAAGAAGATCATTTCACCATATCAGGGCAAATCTCAGGCCTAGGCCATAAAAAAAAAGAAGAAAAAAAAAGATTGTAAAACATACAATTTTTTTAAAAATCTAAATAAATAAGAAAATAAATGAATAACAAAAAACAATGGCAATTTCTAAATAAACTATTATTTTTCTCTCTATTTTGTCATTTATACTTCTGTTCTGCTCCAGCTTCTGGTTTAACCCCAAAGCTCTGCACTGCAGTACTGTGAATATTGTTGGTTCACTTATGATAAATTGCTTGTGATTTTCCTCATTTGTGAGTCGCTTTGGATAAAAGCTTCTGTTGAATGACGAAATATAAATGTTAAATGTACAATTAGCCACATTACTGTATTACATTAATGAGAATGACATTTTTCACATTACAGTAATGAGAATTTGAACATAAAATGCCAATTTTAATGGCCCTAAAAAAAGGCCTCTTTATGTGTAATAAAACATGAGCTAGACATTTCTTTATGAGATTTAAAGGGATTCAAAAATCTTGTTGTTATTCATTTTCAATGCGTTTTCTACTGATGCTTCAGAGGTGAATGAAAAGACAGCACTCTGCTTCCTCTGGAGCTTTAACACAATTTGAGTACGATGTGTTAAAGGCAGTTAACTCTCACTAATGTGTTTCATATTTCCGACAGACAAGTAGAAAAAAAAAGAAAAAAAAAAGCAGAATTCTAACTAACGCAAAATCCATTGAGCGGATAAGGATGGGCATGCATCCTCAGGCAAAAGAGAAACGGTTAACGACAACATCTCAGCGCTGGGGTCTCAGTGCGGGTATTCTGCTAATGTAAACACTTTATCTGGTAGAAACAGCTCGGCTGCCACAGGCCCTCCTTCCTAACTCCACCAGCCAGCTGACACTCTCTCTTTCACCCTTCCGCTTGGTTCTGCGTTTTTCTTATGCTTCTTTCTTTAAAAGTTCACTGTTCTCTAATGCTCCTTTTCCTCTGAATATCTCTCTTCTTTTTTAACCTGCCAAAGTGCTGCCTCTTGCTCCCATTTAATATAACATCTTAAGCTTTCTTGTCTGCACTTGTATAAACAGATTCTGTTTACACATTCGATCTATCATCCGATTTCACACTCCTCTGGGCTTGTGTATGTACCACGACGAGTGATGCTTGTACAAAGCTAATATTCAGTGCTGAAGAAGAGCAGATGATGACTGTTAAAAGCTATTATCAACTCCTTATGCCAAATGAATAAATAAATAAATAATTAAAACTTAAAAAATAAAATTCAAGCAAGTTCAGTTTCACATGCTGAAAGTCGATGGTAATATTAAGTATTATTTAAAATTAAAACATAAGTATTATTTTTAAAATATATGTACTATTAATATAGATATAAAAATATATTGTAGATATAAAAAGATCTTGTATATATTTTTAATATATACAAAAATATATATAATCTTAAATATATTCATTTCAGATTGTTATATTATCTTTTTTTTTTATTTAGATTACTGAATAGCATTTGGTCACACTGTATTTTGTCAATTTTGTGATTAATTGGAAAAGCACTATTTTTTACTTTACTTGGCAACTTGAAAGGTTGACAGAGTTAAGGAAGGGGAAGCAGGGCCTTTGAAGTGCTGAGTGAGAAAGTTGTCCTTCCTCTTCTCATAAAAGCTGACAGACTAACGCCTAAGCTTTAGGGATACTTAAGAGTCAGCTTCAAGGGAATCAGGACAGGCCCTGCCACGCAAATCCATTCTCCTGCTCTTTCCACAGAGCCGAGATGAAGGAGCTCAAAGTGCCAAACACTGCTGACGCCATCATGAGAGGAAATTATGAATATTTATCCAACTGGTCCTCTGGAGGTCTGGGCTATAAGTTTCAGTGATGATTTTTTTCAGGGCTGTGAGGGCACCGCGTTCGAATTTTTGATTTGTTAGAGAAGCAGATGGAAAAACGGAGCTGAGGGAACCGGCGAGGCGTTTAAGCTAATGCTTGTTCGACAAACAAAGCTTATTGAGCTTTGCTGCTTATTAGGACAAAGCTTTGGTAAGACTCACAGAATAACCGCTTGTCTGCCTGCAACTCAAGCTGAAATTTTCTGAGAAGCTGAAAGGACGAAGATAAAAGACACTAAACGTACAAATGAACATGTGGGGCTCGCACATAGTTCGACCAAATTATAAACCGTAGTACCTGCTTCTCATTGGCAGTAACAGGGTATTGGTCCTTGAGTTCAGCCATGACAAAGCACTGGTAGTGTTGGTTGTTAGGAAGGGGACGGTTGTAGAAGCCGTTGTATGTCTTTTTGTCTCCCAAGGTGAAGGTGTCTGGGAGGGAGGGCAGCTTTGCGGCGATGTACGGCCTAACAGTGTCCGTGTGACGTCGTCTATTTCTTTATGAGATTTAAAGGGATTCAAAAATCTTGTTGTTATTCATTTTCAATGCGTTTTCTACTGATGCTTCAGAGGTGAATGAAAAGACAGCACTCTGCTTCCTCTGGAGCTTTAACACAATTTGAGTACGATGTGTTAAAGGCAGTTAACTCTCACTAATGTGTTTCATATTTCCGACAGACAAGTAGAAAAAAAAAGAAAAAAAAAAGCAGAATTCTAACTAACGCAAAATCCATTGAGCGGATAAGGATGGGCATGCATCCTCAGGCAAAAGAGAAACGGTTAACGACAACATCTCAGCGCTGGGGTCTCAGTGCGGGTATTCTGCTAATGTAAACACTTTATCTGGTAGAAACAGCTCGGCTGCCACAGGCCCTCCTTCCTAACTCCACCAGCCAGCTGACACTCTCTCTTTCAACCTTCCTCTTGGTTCTGCGTTTTTCTTATGCTTCTTTCTTTAAAAGTTCACTGTTCTCTAATGCTCCTTTTCCTCTGAACATCTCTCTTCTTTTTTAACCTACCAAAGTGCTGCCTCTTGCTCCCATTTAATATAACATCTTAAGCTTTCTTGTCTGCACTTGTATAAACAGATTCTGTTTACACATTCGATCTATCATCCGATTTCACACTCCTCTGGGCTTGTGTATGTACCACGACGAGTGATGCTTGTACAAAGCTAATATTCAGTGCTGAAGAAGAGCAGATGATGACTGTTAAAAGCTATTATCAACTCCTTATGCCAAATGAATAAATAAATAAATAATTAAAACTTAAAAAATAAAATTCAAGCAAGTTCAGTTTCACATGCTGAAAGTCGATGGTAATATTAAGTATTATTTAAAATTAAAACATAAGTATTATTTTTAAAATATATGTACTATTAATATAGATATAAAAATATATTGTAGATATAAAAAGATCTTGTATATATTTTTAATATATACAAAAATATATATAATCTTAAATATATTCATTTCAGATTGTTATATTATCTTTTTTTTTTATTTAGATTACTGAATAGCATTTGGTCACACTGTATTTTGTCAATTTTGTGATTAATTGGAAAAGCACTATTTTTTACTTTACTTGGCAACTTGAAAGGTTGACAGAGTTAAGGAAGGGGAAGCAGGGCCTTTGAAGTGCTGAGTGAGAAAGTTGTCCTTCCTCTTCTCATAAAAGCTGACAGACTAATGCCTAAGCTTTAGGGATACTTAAGAGTCAGCTTCAAGGGAATCAGGACAGGCCCTGCCACGCAAATCCATTCTCCTGCTCTTTCCACAGAGCCGAGATGAAGGAGCTCAAAGTGCCAAACACTGCTGACGCCATCATGAGAGGAAATTATGAATATTTATCCAACTGGTCCTCTGGAGGTCTGGGCTATAAGTTTCAGTGATGATTTTTTTCAGGGCTGTGAGGGCACCGCGTTCGAATTTTTGATTTGTTAGAGAAGCAGATGGAAAAACGGAGCTGAGGGAACCGGCGAGGCGTTTAAGCTAATGCTTGTTCGACAAACAAAGCTTATTGAGCTTTGCTGCTTATTAGGACAAAGCTTTGGTAAGACTCACAGAATAACCGCTTGTCTGCCTGCAACTCAAGCTGAAATTTTCTGAGAAGCTGAAAGGACGAAGATAAAAGACACTAAACGTACAAATGAACATGTGGGGCTCGCACATAGTTCGACCAAATTATAAACCGTAGTACCTGCTTCTCATTGGCAGTAACAGGGTATTGGTCCTTGAGTTCAGCCATGACAAAGCACTGGTAGTGTTGGTTGTTAGGAAGGGGACGGTTGTAGAAGCCGTTGTATGTCTTTTTGTCTCCCAAGGTGAAGGTGTCTGGGAGGGAGGGCAGCTTTGCGGCGATGTACGGCCTAACAGTGTCCGTGTGACGTCGTCTCCTGAGCAGAGCTCCCTCACTAGACTCCAAGAGCTGAGGAAGCGATCAGAAAGAGATGAATTAGTGCAGGACAACAGACATAAACACCACAGGTTCACAGTGTTATTTGGAAAAGTAATGCTTAGTTTGTTAATAACTTTCATTTGAATTGCCTGTAAATATAAAAGTATTTATTATACAGAAACTGTACAAATTATTAAATGGTCTATTATTAATATATTTACAGGGGTATAAGCCAGCAACAACAAAAACAAACTTTCAGTCTTTTAACCAATGAACTTTAATGACTCCCTTCCTAAAACGCAAAAAATAGCTATATATAGTCATGTATACAGACACATTTATACTAAGAAAAATATTATAAATGTGTATGAAATAATATGAAATGTATTTCCTTTTATATTTAACTGGAAACTGGACTATCTTTAGCAATAAATCAGCATTTTAGAATGATTTCTGAATGACCATGTGACACTGAAGACTGGAGGAATGTTTGCTGACAATTCAGCTTTCCCATCACAGTAATAAATTACTATTTTCAAAAGGTTTACAGGCCTAGAAATCACATTTTTAAAATTCCGATATTCCCAGGTTTTCCATTACCCTGGTAATTCTGCTAATAGTAAAAAAATAAAAAAAACAGGAATGACTCACCTCATCCAGCTCCATCTCGTCGGGATTAACCCACTTACGAGATGATGTAAGAGACACGGGCATGACCACAATGTAGTACCACCTGTACAGAAAACAACGATATTAGCATATACACCTTTACGACTCTCGACTGCACTACAGAAGCTTGCACAAGCGTCAATATTTACTGTATACCAGAAAAGGTTGTAGATTGTAGCTGGTGGGAATTGAAAGCGGCCCATTCCAGGTGTGTGAGCATGTAGAAAAACTGATGACTTGCTTTCTGGGTAATAGCTCCAGTTAATCATCTCAACGCTACTGGTTTTAAATAATCAGCTCTATCTTTCAGAGCGCGAGTGAATGGAACACTCAGAATGAGCTGTCAGGTGATCCGGACAAGCATAACTTTAGGAGAGTGGCATTCAGCTGCTCATAATAAGACTGGGGCCGAGGCTTTAATTTGGCTGGTGTCTGATATGAGAGGCATTTTCAAAATCAGCTCCAAGAAAAACTCTCTCGGTGCTTCAGAGCTCCGCCATTACTGGAGAACGAAGCGCTGTATCTGACACGAAATCCCACATTAATCAGTGCTACTCCAAATGCCAATCTTCTCCAAGACTTTCTCATCCTCAACACTCTGGTAATCTTTTTACCAATCAAAAAGGCACTCTGGAGCACAGCCCTGTTCTCCTCCTGGGATTGGCAACAAGCTTTTTTTTTTTTGACCACAGTGCACCAGCTCTGATTTTGTCAAAGGCCAAGACGTCAGAGAAGAAATCTCCCAGCTTGCGGTTCAGTCGCAAATTAGTTAATTTTTTTTAGGGAACGTAATTGGCTGTGGAAAATCGTGACTCACAAACAACATGCTCCTCTCAAAGGACAAAAACAATCTCCACTTTTCTTCCATTACCTCCTCATTCATGAAAAATTAAGTGTTGAAAATTATATATAAACATAAGTGGCCTTTCTCATGCATAAATTATGATGACATTTAAGTGGTACGATAACTGAAGGGCCTCCACCCATCACCAGGAGCTCCTGTGAAGAGCACTCAGCTGTAATGATGGGCTTTCTGTGGCAAGAACATCAGAAACGGAGCAGCGTGTCTGTTTTCTACGATGTGTTCATATCCTCCATCACGACAGGCTGCACTCTAAGTGGGCTCAAACCAAGACTTTCACATATATCTTCCCTTCAGCTAAGATAGAAAACAGCCTGTCTGCCGGCACATTCTCCGCTATTGATTTCTACACGTTCCATCACAGCTCATTCTTCAGCGCACAGCTTGTTGGAGAATGAAGTGAAAACATGCCGATGTCACTTGAGCCTGACAATGACCTTCTGGTGGTTGGAAAAAATCTGGCACTTTTCAGGAGAAGGTCAAAAGTAAAGCTGAATACAGTAGGATGACGTTACTTTGGGTTTAAAAAGCAGCTGGAATCTGCAGCGTTGGCAGGATGGCTGTTTGTCATTGACCCGAATGGGGCTGCAGGCATTACTTTGGGCAGCGTCACTGTATCCGAATGGATTTATGAGGTTTAAATAGAGGGGAAGGAGTTGAGCACAACAGTAAGATGATAACTATATCAAATCAGCTAATTCTTTGACAAAAGAGAACTCTTTATGCACATATTCAAATTCTGCTAAAAGCTATTCCTGAATTACTTATGCTGTTTTATACAAATATCCCATTTTCTTTGCATGCCTATATAAACTATACTATGAATGAATGAATGAATGAATCAATCAATGAATCAATCAATGAATCAATCAATCAATCAATCCTATCTTTTTTCATCTTATTTTCTCACCAACTAAAAGCATAACCCATTTTGTTTGTCTGATTACTAGAGTACTAACCTGACAGGAGCTGTGGTGGGCACTTTGGGCAGGTTGATGGTGAGTTTGCCATTGCTGGTCTGGTCTGCTGTGTACAGGACAGGTTTAGTTTTGAACAGGTCAGGTGCGGTATGCATGCCTATATAAACTATACTACGAATGAATGAATGAATGAATGAATCAATGAATCAATCAATGAATCAATCCTATCTTTTTTCATCTTATTTTCTCACCAACTAAAAGCATAACCCATTTTGTTTGTCTGATTACTAGAGTACTAACCTGACAGGAGCTGTGGTGGGCACTTTGGGCAGGTTGATGGTGAGTTTGCCATTGCTGGTCTGGTCTGCTGTGTACAGGACAGGTTTAGTTTTGAACAGGTCAGGTGCGGTACGAATAGAGACCTGCTGCTGCAGGCCACCAGCACTGTTTCCCCGGCTCATCAGCACGAAGGAATAATTAGTGTCTGGCTGCAGTCGTGTGATCAGCTTCCTCTTGAGGTTGCCCTGGACTTCCACACTCTGCTGGTTATAGAGGATCTGCAGGAGGGAGAGGTTCAATTTCACTCAGTTGCACAGCTCACTAAATCTAATTTTTATTTAGTTTAATTTAAACAAAGAACTTGATTGCATAAACAGCCTTTTCCCCACGCAGCTGCTTTTAGCGATGGAAACCGTGTGCTGTTTTCTGGGCTTGGCCCATCAGGACATTACTGTTATGGTTTTATACCAGTAGCTGACATGCAGAGATGCCACACAGACAGTCTGTCAAGTTCACTGTAGGCCAGAGACCGTTCTGACAGACTTTCCACACTGTTTCTGCATACTGACCAATACTGTGACTTGCAATTTTGCTAAACCACATGTGAATTTACAGAATCAGCACTTAAAACCTAATAGGTAAGATTACATTCACATCTGTCACAGTCTAATCATTTTGTATGGGATTTAGACAATTATACAGCTAACTCCCAAGTGCAAGCCTATAAAAAGGGTATAAAAACAAACAAATGCTTGTGAAGAATATATTTTAATACAAGGAACTTTTTGTCTATGTTCGTTAATGGGGTCTTACCTTAAAAGGCACTTGGGATTTGTAATTTTCTGGCACCTCCCAGGTGAGAAGGACAGAGGTTTTCATCACAGCTTTGACACCAAAACTTGTGGCAAATGCTATTGGACAGAGAACAGGGATTTCATGAGCATATATATAGAGCATAGGGTTTGAATTACGTATAAGGTAACATTTAAAACAACACTGATCTCTTGTTGTGTGAAATTACTGACACTGCAATAAAGTGCTTATAATATCTTGTACTTACATAATTTTTAATAAAGAAAGAAATACAGCCCCGTCTGAATACTGCCTATAAAAGCTGTTCTGTACAATGGAAAATCAGCTTATTTGTTGAGAAAAATATGAAGAAATAGTGCTATAATAAAATAGTGCTATACCTCCTCCGACAGGAAGCTTCAAACTTATTTTTTAAAACGTATTAGTTTTATTTTAGTATTATTTATATATTATTATAGTATTTATTAATATTTTGAATGATCTGTTTTATTTTTATATTTTATAGTTTTCTTTTTCATTGTAGTTTGTCTTTTTTCTAAATATTTCAATATAATAATTTTTTAACTTTAATAAAGTTTTTGTTTGAGTAAATATAGTACTTCAACTTATTTCAGGTAGTTGCCAAAGCAACATTTCTAAATTTTTCAAAAAAATTTCAATCATTTTTTTATCTAATATTTATATTTAATTTTATTTAAGCTTTATTTTAATTATCGAAAACTATTTTTAATAACTTTAGTTTTTAGCATTACGTTCTTTCAGTTCAGTTCTTTTCAGAAGTTGAATGTTAACGTGAATGTTAAGTAAAAAAAAACAAAGGCAGGATTTTTCCATTTGCCTTAAAAACCACCCAATGTGAAGATAACTGGACTTTTTCATAGTGCACATTCATCACAGTGTTAGCATGACAAAATTAACTACGTTATGTCAACCGTGTGTTATTGCAGAAAAATAATAACATTTGTTGGTTATCTGGTGATTTTGTTTGTGAACAACAGTGGACAGTGGATTTCAAATGTGTTAAGACAGAAATTAACATGTTCCGGTGTTATTTTTTGGACCCAATCTTTCAAGCAACATGAACAGGTGTGTAGTATGTGGGCCTTCATGCACCGTATACACTATATCATTAAATAAAGTGTATAAGGTGCATTATACTGTAATTATGTTACAGTGCATTGCAATTATCTGTGGATTGACACAGTAATAAATTACACTTCAGAGCATTTCTGCATCTGTTTAAGAGATTTAACGTAAGCCATGCAGTCTAAACACAAACCCGGTGATGTAGACATGGTCCTGCTCTGGATACTAGGACTTATGGGACCCCCTCCCTTGCTGGTGAAGGCTTGCACACGGATATCATAGGTGGTGTCTGGCCGAAGCCCCTGGATGGTCATCTGAGTGTCAGATGTGCGATTGGTGCCGTTCTGTATGTTGTTGATGTCACGGTACATCACTAGATATTGTGTGATCCGGCCGTTGCGTTCAGAGAGGGCCGGGGGGTCCCAGGCAAGGCGGGTGGTGGAGGTGGTCAGGCCCACGACACGTAGGTTGAGGGGAAACCCACTTGGCACGTCCTCCGGTGTGCTGATCTCTTTTACATACTCCTCTCCAGCTCCCGCCCGGTTTCTGGCACTCAGCTGGAAGGTGTAGGTGGCGCCCTTGTGCAGTTCTGTGGCGGTGTGGTGGTTGTCGTTGCGTGCGAACTCACGGACTTCATAGTTTTCATCCTCCACACGCTTGTACCGTAGTCGGTAGCCAATCAGCTCACCCACCATGTCCTTAGGAGGCTGCCACTGGATGAGGGCCGTGTTGCCAATGGTGGTGCTGATGATCATGGTGGGTTTCCCAGGCACTGCGGGGGCAGAGTGAGAATATGAAAAGGCATTGTTAAAAAGAGCATTATTTACACGACCACTAACACCACATGCCACCATAAATAACCTGCCTTAAAAGTGTGTTTCCTCTTTTATTTGATCTGGACTGTCTAAAACATCCTCTTATTCTGGCATTACAGACCACCTATTTATGGCAAGTAGTCTTCATCAAAGAATTCTGAAAATCATCAAATAATTCTGAAAAAAAAAAAGCTTTATGGTTTCTACAATAATATTATCTGCTTGATAATAAGTATTATGTAAATATTAAGCACAACTATTTTTCAACATTGCTAATATGAAATGTTGCTTGATCAGCAAATCAGCATATTAGAATGATTCTGAAGGATCATGTGACACTGAATACTGGTGTAATGGCTGCTGAAAATTCACAGGAATAAACTGATATATTACAATACACAAAATCTACCACAAACTTTTAATGACGTATAACTACAATGACTTATAAATGTTCTTTCATACTGACCTTAAAGGGGTCCTATTATGCTCTTTTACAAAGTCTTGATTTTGTTTTGGGGGTGTACTAGAACAGGCTCTCATACTAGGTTGTTCGAAAAACACATTATTTTTTCACATATTTTACATTATTACAACACCTCTCTCCCCAGTCTGGCATGAACGGCTGGATTAGTTCCTGTACCAAATGAAGGCCCGCCTTCTGAAATACGAAATGTGCTGTGATTGGTTAGCTGGGCCAGTGTGTGTTGTGATTGGCACCACTCGGCGCCTGGTCGGGAAATATCATGCCCCTTACCATAGCCGCCTGCAAGCTTCAGTGTAAATATTGCGTCAAAATCAAATCAATTTGAGCGCGATTTAAACCCGGATGATTGTAGCCACTCTAAGTTCGTCTGCCTTGGGAAAGCTAGCGTGTCTACGACATAGTGATAACACTCGTTGCCTTCTCTAGTGCAGCTCAACCAGGTCTCGTCCTATTCGTCGATATTTGTGATATCACAAATCCCGGAAAATATGCGTTGTAGTCCAAACAAGTCGTTTGTTGTAGTTTTTGAAAAGTGATTTCAGTTAAATAAAATATCTCCTTTTGAAGTGGACTTTGAGCTTTGTAACTTTGCAGATCTTTTTTATGCTCAAACAGCAACATTACAGACTAACTAAAGTTGAAAAAGTGAAAAAGCATAATAGCACCCCTTTAAATCTATATTTATAATGTTTAATAATAATAAAAAGTGAAGACCCTTCCATCTATTTTATCCTTTGAGTGAAGAAATGTCTTGGAAAAGCTGCTTTTGATTAAATGTCACCAGCCATTCGACAATGAATTGTCACTGAAAACCTTGATAAACGCATTCATATTTTAAAATTTCATCTGTAATGTGATGTATTTGTAGGTAAATCAGGACATTCAGTAGAATATAGCATTTTGTGCGACCAGTTGAGAAGAAAAGATACACCAGATGTCAAGCAAGATTTAAAATAGTTTTTCTTAGGAACAATGTACAATGAATCAATAAATCAATGAATAAGACCAGAAACATGCATTAGAAAATAAACAGGGTGAATTCAGAATGTGAATTAAAAGCGAATTCCTACCTGCTCCGGTGGTGGTGATGACTTTGGCTTTGCTGCGTGCCCCATCACCCTTGGTTGTGTATGCTGCCACGGTAACGGAGTAAGAGGTCTCAGAGTGAAGTCCAGTGATCACAGCCTCCTGTGAAACAGAAACAGCATGATCCCTAAGATGCCAAGACAGCTTTATCTAGAGACGCCCTCATGCCATCCCCACTGGCAGACACTGATCATAAACCCTCCAATAAACCACACACACCCCAATGCTTAACCATTTCCAACCTCCCTTTTAAAACCGTATTTATGACATATTTTTTATTTCATTTTGCACATTCAAACAAGAACTCTGAAAGGCTTCGAAAAGCTCTATAGAAGCTCTTCCAAGCCACAAAGAGAAGAACCAAAGCTGCCCAACCATGGGTGTCAATGTTCTTGCTTTACACTAGTGACAGCAAATTATTTTTTAACAAGCCAGCTGAAAAACTGTCAGTAATTAGTTTGTAATTATATATTTGGTCACACTTTATATTAGGTGGCCTTAACTACTATGTACTTGCATCAAAAAATAAGTACAATGTACTTATTGTGGTCATATTGTATTGCAAAACACTTTTGCTGCTATTGAGGTGGGATACGGGTAAGGTTAGGCACAGGTTTGGTGGTATGGGTAGGTTTAAGGGCGGGTTAAGGTGTAAGGGATGGGTCAACAGTGTAATTACAAATGTAAGTACATAAATTAATTACAGATGTAATTACATGCAGGTATTTTAAAAATATAAGTACAATGTAAAAACATGTATGTAAACAATAAGTGCATTGTACCAAATGATTAATTTAAATGTAAGTACACAGTAGTTAAGGCCACCTAATATAACATGGGACCATATATTTTTCATTTTTTGAAAACCTTCAAAGATTTTTGTTGGTCAAATTAGTTTGCAAACTACTGTAAATAATAACTGGTGTATAGAAGAGCAATGACATATCTGGTTGACAGCAACAGATAACCTGTGTGAGCATTTGAACAAACGCACAAACCAAAGGAAAAAAAGAGCCAAACATAGCACACGCAAGCACCTGTAGGAACACGAACACACACACACGCA